AGGTAGCTAAATCAAAATTTTTTACTATAAGTACCTGACGAGTTGTAAGGGCTTTATATTTAAAATACCTCAACTGATCTAAATATTTTGCTAGCCTATGTCGACCATAATAACTGAAAATAAGAAATGTATTTCCAGCTTCGACTAGCTCAGATTTTTGTGCTGCAGGATCTAAAAAAAAGCGGATGTAATTTGTCGCAGATAAGGATCTTTTTGCAACGTTTGAAAGTCGTGCATGTTACATTACATTTTAATTTTTTTCTTCCAACCTGTAGCCTAATTTTTCAAACTGTTCATTGTATTTTTTTTTTCGGGTGTGTCGATTCACCAGCGCGCTCTGAGAGTGTTCTGTATTTTTATAAAAACAATTTTTTTTTTTTTTACTAAATACATGTGTAACAATAAGACCTTGGTTTAAGTGCAAATAGCACCGACCGGGACACAGTGGAGACTGATTTCGCACATTATTAGTAAACATGTAATTTAGTAAAAATAGCCTTTTACAATTTTTGTTAATTTTGAAATATTATTAACCCACCAAATAAAAAATATTTCTTGAAAAATGTCACAAGGATTTGTATTGTCACGTTGAATTGATGCTAAATATCCATGTTTATTTGTTAAATAAGCTTAAAAAATTAGTAATTGGCATTTGCAAGTGATTCCTTTTAAAAATTGCTTCGTATTTTCAAAAATTTTTTGTACGTCATTGCTTTAGGATAATAAACTATTTTTATTTTTTTTTTTTTTTTTATTTTTAATTTCTTTAATTTTTACCGTCCTTGAAAGTTTCTCGTTATAACGAACTGTTTTCGAGTGTATTTACATTTTTTCCCACAAAGTACCAAAATTCAAGCTGGCGGCCAATTTTTTTTGATGACGCACACATCGGAGAAATGGGGACTTTTAGTATGTTAATAAGGGTTACTAAGGCTAACTATTTTCAATGGTCGCAGCTTTCTAAAAATTTTTGCAATTTCAACATGGTGAATGTCATAACTGCACTGGGGTATAAGCGACGCGGCAACAAAACGATTTGCCACAATTCCTCGAACCCATAAAATTTGAAATAAAAAAACGGCGATTGCTGCGGATTTATTAAAATACCGGGTACGCAAAACATAGAACGAATAAAGCATAGAGGTAAAATAGTTAAAATAATTAAGGATTTATTTTGAAATAAATATTTTTTGAGTTTCTTTCGCATACCTATAAGCTAAAGTAACTTTGAAGCACTTTTTCATTTCCCAATTAAGACGCCAATCTCCCAACTCCGTCAATTCAATGGTCATTTCTCCCCAATGACCCCAATCCCCCCTATATATCCGCCTCTGTAAGAGAACGTACTTTAAACATATAGTTAGGAATAACAGGTTGTCACTGATATCCTCGTTTTCGTATCCTGAAGATTTTACGATATTCCTGTAAACCATATTCTTATACCGAACGCACCGTATTTCTCACTGCCTTACTAAAATACCACAAATACCAAACCATACGTACGTATCGGTTTTCCTTAAAATTATTCTTCCATTAATAGAGAGATGAGATTAGGGTTAGGGTTAGGTTAATTGCAAGAAGACGAGAGAGCACAAAAAGCAAAACGAGAAATATCGTACATACTCTTCGCTTTGCTTTTGATACCTCTATGGCCGAATCGAACATAAATCATCTTTAACGGCAATCGTATGTCATAAAAGCCCATTTACTCGTCCATAGAATTTCCAAGTATTTACCATGGAGAGCAAAAAAAGGGCTTACGACCTCGCCAATTGTGCGGGGCGGTCGCTTATTATTTAAGATCTTCTGTTGCAGTTTTTAATGAGACTAGCCAACAGCCTTTGTCAGAGCCTAAAACATGTTATTTTAGAAGTTGGCATGCCTTATTTATTGCCCTGTTTGAGTGCGGCGGTGAATATAGTGGTTGCCGGTGGCCGCAATATAGATATAGATAGATATATATATAATTGGCTTGTATCCATTATTTGGTTTAGGTTTATTGTGATTCATAGAGATGTTTTTAGATGATTGATAGATAACGCACTAAAAATATAGGAACAATATTTTCTATATATAGTATTATAATTTATTAAATGTGTGTTGCCATGATCTTTAGCCTGACATTACTTTATATAAGTTCCCGTCTTCCCTTTGTGGGACATGGAGCTTATAAGAAATGTTTCCATCTGATCCTATTCTCGGCTGTCTGTTTGAGCTCTCCCCATGCTTTCCCAATCTCTTGTGCTTCAGAAGTTACTGTTCTCCTCCAGGTATTTCTTGGTCTTCCCCTGGCGCGTCTTCCCTGTGGATTCCATTTAAGTACCTGTTTTGCGATATCTCTGTGTGGTCTCTGTCTCTGGTCTGCTCAGAATGTGCCCAATCCAGCCCCACTTTCTTTTCTTAATTTCAGATAGATCATTCTTTTAAGTTTTGTGATATGTTCTTCATTCGCCAGTTCTTATCGTTCAGCTTAAATGTGATTGGCGCAGTAGAAAATTCTCAATATTCTTCGAAGGCACTTGTTAACAAACATTTGCAGGCGATCCATAATACCACGCGTAACCTTCCATGTTTCGCATTCATAGAGTAAAGTAGATTTTACATGGTGTTGAAGAGCTGGACTTTTTTTCTATATATGGAGGAGTTCCATATATTTGCAAGCAGGCCAAAAGCTTTTTGTGCCTTCAAGATTCTTTCCTCTTGAAGATCTTTCGCCGTGCCTCACACCGTTGCGAACCATACTTCCCAGATACTGAAACTTGATTTTCGCCACGTTGATTTGAGGGCCGACATTACTAGCTTCCTCTTGGAGTCTAAGAAGTTTTTGAGACATATCCGACTGTGAATGGGAAAAGACACAAATCGTCTGCATAACCCAGGTCTTCTAGCCTGCTTAAGAGACCCCACTGTATCCCTAGCGGTTCCTTAAATGCTCTGTTTAGTACTAGATGCAAGACGATGTTAAAGAGTAACGGCGAAAGTATACAGCCCTGTTTTACACCCACTGCAAAAGACATTTTCTCCCCAACTTGACGCAATACACAGCTTGTAGCATCATGATAAAGCATTTTAGTCATGCGGAATATTTTGTCACACACGCCTTTTTCTCTAAAAAAATAATATACATAATAAGATACAAATTTAAATAATTAGCTTTCAAAAAAACATTTTGTTTCTGAGATAGTCGTTAGAAAATTTGTATAAGAGAACGTTCTTTAAACAGATAGTTAGGAATAACAGGTTGTCACTGAAATCCTCGTTTTCGTATCCTGAAGATTTTACGATATTCCTGTAAACCATATTCTTATACCGAACGCACCGTATTTCTCACTGCCTTACTAAAATACCACAAATACCAAACCATACGTACGTATCGGTTTCTTAAAATTAATTCTTCAATTATCGGGTTAGGTTAAGTGAGGTTAGGTTAATTACAAGAAGACGAAAGAGCACAAAAAGCAAAACGAAGAAGATCGTATATACTTTTCGTTTTGCCTTTGATACCTCTATGGCCGAATCGAACATAAATCATCTTTAACGCCAATCGTATGTTATAAAAGCCCATTTACTCGTCCATAGAATTTCCAAGTATTTACCATGGAGAGCAAAAAAAGAGCTTACGACCTCGCCAATTGTGCGGGGCGGTCGCTTATTATTTAAGACCTTCTGTTGCAATTTTTAATGAGACTCGCCAACAGCCTTTGTCAGAGCCTAAAACGTGTTATTTTAGAAGTTGGCATGCCTTATTTATTGCCCTATTTGAGTGCGGCGCTGAATATAGTGGTTGCCGGTGGCCGCAATTCACTTCGTGCCATGTATTATTGGCTTGTATGATTTTTTTTTTAGTTTATTTGTGATCCTTTAAAAGACGATGTTTAGAGTAGTTTGTATTACACTGAAAATATAGGAAGAATATGTTCTAATTATAGTCGAACAGAGTAAATAATACTGTTATAAACTGTTGAATGTGTGTTGCCATGATTCTTGTCTTACGTTTCTTTAGCACTCTGTTTAATATAGGCGAAATTCTTTAATATTATTTTTTACTTTAAGATATTTTATATTTTTTGTAAAATCTCCAATATTATAGGTGCCGCAATAACTGTAGCATTTCTGAATTTTACTTGGCATCATTTATTGCAATTTGGATCTAGCGGATCAATTTGGATCTAACTCTCATCTTGGTTCGGTAAATCATAAAAATTTTCAAACGCTTTATTAAAAATTATAATTTCGGGCTTCGACTCGACATTCAGACATTTTTTTCTTTCACTTTGTAACACTTTGCAACAAATATTTAACATATCATGAGTGTGTTATTTACTCTGTTAGACTACTGTTAGTTACAGGAAATATTTTACCGTGCTTTCTGGACATTTTACATTATGCAGTAAACTGGGAAATCGATAAACCGATGATGCAATCTCTAAACACTTTTACGTATATTCTCACTTTGTTTCTATTAGGTAGAAAGAACCAAAGAAACAAAACAAACAACATTCAATATAACTATTGAAAAATATTAAACAAATCGTCTCTTATGTCGTTTAATATTCCCTATCGTTTTATTTTCGGTAATGGTTCTCAAGAAAACGTTATCAAAAGCGTGCGAGGTACTTGCCGGTTTATAAACCTCATAGAGGTATTGTGGCGGTGGAGGTGACACTGGTGCGATGAAGATCTGATGTGAATCGCCTATGGTCTCGGTAACGGAATGAGTGTCAGTCATTTCGGCGTTGAAGGATGCCAGTGTGCTATCATCGCTATTTCTTGTTATTTTCTAAGTAACCTAAACAAAACATGTATTAAAATTAAATATTATATGACTTCTCATACGATTACATAAGTCTCTACAACTCAGCAAATATTTTGACAGACTATGGGAGAAAAAGGGCAGATGACGTCCATGCCGATCCAGCTGTTCCATTAAAAATATTTATATTTATTAAAGTTAACTTTTTCAGTACTTTCGGTACCTACTATCAAATTTTTGTTCAATGATGGTGCAATACATCAATCCATCAATTAGGAAGCAAGGGATGGTTTTCCAGAGTAAAATCGGTAAAAAATTGAGAGTGTTAGTGAAAATAATATCAAATTATTTAGTAATCAGACATGAGAAAATTAACATGAACACAAGCAAAGAAAAAATTTAAGTAACTTTAAATTCACTTCAACATATTCACATTTACAACAACCTAAACCAATTTAACTAAATTTGAAAGAAGTCCTTAAAATTTTGAATTAGGAATGCAAATATCTATTAAAACATAAAATAAAATATAACGAATACATTGAACAACATCTTATACTAATTAATAAAATAACATATTTAAATTTCAATAATTACTAAAAACATTACAGGAATAATTCTTAAATAAGTAAATAATAACTTCAGAGGTAAAAACAATAAGAAATAGCATCACTACTTTGTCAAGAGTTTGATATCGACCGCTAGAAAGTATCAATGGTTTTTTGCATATAACAAAACATATTTTTTAATTATTCTTACCGAGTCCCTAAAGTACCGAAAGAACAGGAAATTAATAATTTCGAGTCCCGGTTCTTTAATTTCTCAAAAGAACCCTAGTATCTCTGTATATGTGGGTGATGGTTTGCTAACCAATTCAAACCTTTTTTGTTTTGAACTTAGTTAATCGGGAATGTTTAGAATGTAGAACTCTTCAGTATAGAGACACTCTTTAAATTATTATTACCCTTTTAAAATTCAAAACAGCATAATATGATTGTTTGAAATTAACAACTGTACATTAGTGGTGCTGTTTCCCACTATTTGCATTTTATTTAATAATTTCGTATAATAATTAGGATGATTTTAAATTTATTTTTAATACGCTTATCTCAGGATAATCAAACATGTATTTAACATAACGCAGATCCTCTAAAGAGAGACCAGCATGTCGCCAACTCAAGAAAAGGCAATGGTAAACAACCGTGAGTATATTTACCTATTAAAACCTTCTCAAATAGTGCCGTTCGGATTTGGTGATAAACTGTAGGTTCCATATATTTATGTAATACTGACAACACACATCACAAGTACATGCGAAGGACGCAAACGATCCGTATAGACCATGGCACTGAAACAAGAATGTCCTGTAATGTATTTAAACTGTTTGTCATTGATTTGGCCAAATTTTTACCTAAAAGACCCTGTGCAATAATTTTGTGTGTAAATTTTCCTCAAATATAATTTTACGGTCAGAACCATGAATCTCGAGAATTTGTTTTATTGATTCATGTCAATACAGGCTTTGGTTAATTTTTAAGAGCGAAATGAACTAACAACGATCAATTTGCAATTTTTTAATTATTATTAACTAATCTTTCAACATTAATAAATAAATAATAATCATTCAACATTAATAACGATAACAAAACTAACGATATTAAAGAAAACGTCTGTAATACTCAAGTATACAAACAGAAAAAAAAATAAAAGATACCCTAATACTTTTTATTGCCACACTTGCCTGCTATAATTACCTGTATACGTCCGTTCATACTTCTTTACGGACCAAGCGAAGTTCATTTAATGAAGCTGGTACTGATTCGCGACGACTGGTACTGATTCGACTCTAACCCTTCTGTCAAACATTTGCCAAACGTCGAACATGATGGGCAGTTCATAGTAGTATATAGTTCTACAGTTCACAATAATCACCAAAGCGGCCTTTTCATATTGAAAAATAACTTCAAAAAGAAATGATAATTGACAAAATTGCGAATTGTTGGTGGCAAGCTTTACATTTCGCTCTTAAAACGCTCTTGAAACGCTACTTTCGCTCTTTTTACGTAAGTTTATGTTTTGCATTTAGGCCTCGCCGCGCCATTTACATTTAAGTTAGGGTACCCATATGCAACTGTTAAACGCGCACTTGTTTTTACAAGTATTGTTCTTACCATGAATGTTTCATTATTAGCATGGTGGGTACTTCAAAAAGTGTGCATTTCGGCGACGGTAGTTTTGAGGAAACATTAACCGAGTACTACAATAAAGTTAAAGACACTTATGCGATATGAAAATCATCGAGATACTGATTTTTATCCGAAGAGTAACTATAACTCCGATTCCAAATCTGTTACTTGTAGAAGAGAGAGATTTGAATAATCAATACCAGAAATGAAAGAGATGATATATGTCAACGAAGAAATGATAAAAAAAAACTCCTGAAACAAATGTGCACCATCCATGTACGCTGCTTGCAGATCGTATGTTGACTATACTTGAAAAAGAACTGTACTTGAAAAAGTTATATACATTCAGGGTTTGTAGTTTTGTTGAAAATAATGTTTGTTTATTAATTTAGCTTTACAGTTCGGTTGTTGGTACTTTCAATAATACGAGAATATAAAAAAAAATATATGTTTTTAATTTCTATGTTTTTTTTATCGGTTCTTATTAATTTATTGAATATGAATGACATTATTAATTCGCAAGTTTGAATATATTGTAAACAGTGTTAAAATAACAAACTTATTACAAAATTTCTTCGCCATTTATTTTTAACTGAAAAAAACAATTGGTGTCTATCGGACCCCAGAATGGCGTTCTACAAAATTTATTTAAGCGCTACAAAATTTCACCACGCCAGTTAAGGGTTAAGACAAAATTGTGATCCGCCAATAAAAATATTCAATTTTCTAAAGATTATATCAATATATTATTGTGTATCCATTATATCATTCATCACATAAATAGCTTGTTATTTAATAAGATTCTCATCTAAAATCCTATGAATCTCTCATATTTATCATCACCGCTCCTCGAAATTCTCGCAGAAAAAAAAATTATACAGGTCCACCCACTGTCCCATTCGAGCTACCATCACCCGGGCATTGTCATTGCGGTTAAGCTACGACCGACGGTACCTATCTAATGGTTCCCCACCTGGGGGACTATTCTAACGATGACGTAGATCCGACGGGGTCTGCACGAGGCCCGCAGAAGCCGCCAAGTACCACTGTACCGCCGAGTTCTGCCCGCGACGAAGCGTCGGCTCACCGTGTTCGTGCCGCGAGTGTTTGGTCGATCGTGCGGCTCTCGTACCGCATGTGTGTTGGTTGGTGCTCGTGATCTCTGCTCTAACGTCGCTGCCTCGTACTACCTTTGGTACTACGACGACGGTTTGGATACGCGGACACGCTGAACTTTAACTAGGTGAGTTGCGCGCCGGCATTGTTTGTCGGATGTAAGAGATTGGAAATCGACGGATCTACAAAGCTTAGAAAACGGTGAATATAGAGAAAATATTTATGTATCCAGGAGAGAAAGAATAACAATCCATTACTCCAAAAAATGATGTAGAACGTAAATGAAACAATAAAAATAAAAAAATTAATACAGAAATAATATAATAATAGTTACTGATGAGCAAGACTAGTTTTGCTCTTGCGGACTTGGTTGGTCCTGCTATTTGTGCAAGACCAAGACCGCAACATCAAATCTTATATGTTTCGTATATGTATAAAGATAAATTAGTTAATAATACACATCGGGTCTACATCAAATCTAACTATAATTATATTATTACTCCATTATTTTTTTATTGTTTTTATTTACGCGCGCGCGTTCTAGATTATTTTTTAAACTAATTAATTATGTTATTTAATCGCTTTGATCTATAAGATCAAGACGGATAACTGCAAGACTTCCGCAAAGCATGCAAGAATTTTTTTCACGTTTATATGATATTATGAAGAAATTACTTATTTCTTCAAAATAATTGTTTTAATTTTTTACAAAATTGCATAAAACTTTAAAGAAAGAAAAGCTGATTCGATATAACATATTGATAAATAAAAATTTTCAATTTCTTTCTTTAAAGTTTTATTTGCGTTAAGTTACTAAAAATAGTATTTATTTAAAGATTTTCTTTGTAGAAAATGGATCTAGTAAAAATCTTGTAAAACCTAGTAAAAGTCTAGTAAAAATCTAGTAAAAATCTAGTAAAAATCATGTAAAAATCTAGTAAAAATCGAGTAAAAATGTTGTAAAAATCAAGTAAAAATCTATTAAAGAAATGCAAGATTTGCAAGAAATTTTGTAATCTATAATACAAATTAACAAACTAAAATAAAATAAAAACACAACAGAATGAATAAAGAGTTGCCATTGGCTATTGAATTAATGCTAATTATCATTTTTTCGAATCTTCGATCTTTCTAATACTTCAGTTACCTTTGTTTTATTATTGTTTTTTTTTCACTTCTTTGTTTTATTTAACGACAACTCAATTAAGCTCTCTTAATGACTGACAATTAGAATTAAATTTTAAGAAATTGGCCACCATTATTTATCTAAAGTCCCAGATTAAATTTCTTTGAAAAAAATGAAAGAAAAAATAAAGTTTAATTATCAAATCCACTTCAAAATAAAATGTTAAGTTGTATTGTGATAAAGTAGTGTTATTTTTATGTTGTAACGCAAAAGATTCCAACATCAATCGAATTCGTCAAAGAACATAATGCTTTAATGCTTTGGCTCATTGAGACTGATATTCGATGGATATTAATGCTAACCATCAAAATTATGTCCCAATAACTAAATAAGAGTAAGTAGGTATTAAAAATTAATTGACGCACAAAATGTCAGGAACTACATTACAAAAAAAATAGTATATTTCTATACATTTTATTATTAATTTTTGACTTCCTTTTAATTTTTCATTTTAAACCCAAAGGGAAATACATTTTTATAAACAAGATAATAACCATGAAATCTTAATATTCGTTAAAATTTTTAACTGACCATTAGTTTCTGAAAGTACTGAATAACCCATACTTATAAAATTGTGATGAAGCCTGCCATTATATTTCTGAAAATACCTTTTTATATTTCCAGCGAAGATGACGGCAGTAAAACTAGTCTTGCGTATAATTTTTCTGCATTTTTTAATGACTAAGATACTTATATAGAAATATATCAGGTTAAATTGATGTTAGTGTGATTGCTATAATATGGCTTTAATCGATTACTATATTTTCTTTATAATTAATTATCTTTTATGAGTCAAATTCTAACAAAAATTAATATTCAGTAAATTCTTGTTTTAT